AATCATATGTTGCATAGAGAGTGAGTTATAGTGACCGAATCAATTTTCCTAAGTCGGCCGGCCGGCCGACTACGGTATGCCGTACAATAGAAGCTGTGTTAGCGCAACCGGCAGCTGTTTCCTGCACCAAATGGCCAGTGCTGTGCGAGGTGAAACTACTCACATCGCATAGAATGGATTTAGGAAATGAAGTATTTCCCACAACAGCTGACCGGTTTCGTGCTGGCAAGCTATTCATAGGCTAACACAAACAAGATTCCTGGAAAGCGTCACGCCTTCAGCAGTAACCATTCGATTATGAGCAATAAGGAGCTTGGTTGCAACTTCCATTCCACCTAACACTCAACTCTTTTTTCCCGAAAAATCTTTTTCCTCAATACTTCACTTGTATAATACAGAAGCTGCTGTGTAACACAGAAGCTCGTTGCTCATTCACTTCACATGTATGGTACAAATGCTTGTTCCTCATTGTACTTTATATCTGAAGTTCAAGAGCATGCTCAGTATTACTCATAAGATTGGCTATCTCTGATATTTTTCAACTACTGATCTCGTAATATTCACTTATGTTCCCTGTAAGTCCATTGACATCGTTGCCTTGTTATCGTCGCATAACAATGTTAGTATGCTGTATCAATTAGACAAGTGAGAGGTCTGATCTAGTTCAACAAGCGAAAGTCTCGCTGTAGCAAAACAACAGAAGAGCATTCTTCAAACATGGACTGCTACAGCCTGATTTTGTCATCCTTCATCTATACTTGCCTTGAGATGGAGATGTCGTGGGAACAAATTCGCTTGCTACTCGTGCACGATTGAGGCGCAGGGGAAGATGCTACTGAAGCGGCGCGCAGGATTAATGGAGCTAAGTCTGGGCTACCCGAGCACGACAGATCCTCCAGACTGTTGTCTATAGCTTTCAACTTCACGAACCACCTCCTATCGTCCTTTCTGTATCCGTATCATCATCCTAAGCTCTATAATGTTAAGTGCTGCATCACTAGCATTCCCCCCTACGCGCCATTTGCGCATGAGTCGCAAGCGAGTTTGCTCCTACGACAGCTCCATCCTGAAGCAAGTATAGAAAAGATATCCACCGAAAAGTACACAAAAAGATGCCCAATTCAACCATGTCAAAAATCTGCAAGTTACATCCCACAAATAAATTAAGCGCTTATTGCTCTAGTGTCAAAACTTATGGAACGACACAATAGATTTTACTTCATAGTAAATATTATACGCCGTCAAGTGAAGCGTATTATTTTGAGGATCTACCAAGCATTGTATTTTTTTGAAAATCTTAGACTTTTTCAGAATTCTCCCATTAGGACCAAGAGACGGTTATCGTCAAATCTATGTTACACTGATAGATGGTAAGTTGTAACCTTACTGAATCGAATCCTCGCCAGTCTCTCCCTTCATGATAACCGTCTGCTCAGGTTCGAACGGTTCGGTCAACTTAACTACAGAAGAAATTGGCCGGAATATTGTCATTTCGAAATAAGATGACTTAGGAATGCGCCCGTTGTTGACTTGGTACGCAGTCATTGCAAGCGCAGTCCATAACCTCTCGAAAGCATAAACATTACGTGGAGTGAATGTCTATGACAACATTCACGTTTCTTTTGTAAGCTCCACGTTTAGTTTCCCATACCATCAGCTGAAGCATAAGTGGTTGTGGCATCAGATGTTGCATAGAAGAAAGACCATAACATATTATAAATCATAAATTTTGTCAGACTAGGAAGAAGAATAAAATGAAAAATCATGGGTTAATACAAAAAAATTCGATAATGCGAGGATAACATAAGTCGAATACTTTTTATTCAGAGGCAGGCAAGTGAACTTGATTGATAGTCAGTAAGCAAACTTTATAAGAAAAAGGTTATCATCATTGAAAATCAAAAACAACGTAAAAACAGTCTATAATGAAATTTGACCCTCCCCTCAACTACTTGAATAGCATGTTTTCGAAATATCCACGATAAAGAAAGATTCTTCAAAATTGAATCTGTGAGTTGCTGGTGAAATTTCAAAGTAGTGAAGAGTAAAGAAGTGGCAAGGTTAGAAAAAATTCGAAAAGAAAAAGATTAGCAGAGCATCGCACGAGTGGAATAAGAAGATATAAAAACTGTTCGATGAGCGCCTGCCACTTGTATCGCCTTCGACTATATACAAATGATTGAAACAAGAATGAAAGAAGGAAAGAGAAAGAAAAAAGATAGAGAAATATAAAGTCTTCTACTGGTTTCTGATCAAATATCTTCATTCTTATGTTGCCCAGGAAATGGAATCTATTAGAAGAACCTACTATAACAAAGAAAAAGTGATGCATTTATTAGTTCAGAGTTGGTTTTAGTTTATATGTATATATGCCTTTTAGGTTCATAATTGATACAAGCCGGATTGATTTGCCTCTAACAGTGAAACCTGCAAATTTCACTTTGATGTATCCTCTTTGGATTCTTTTATGTTAGACGGCGGCAAATGAAAACGCTATCACTGTACAAGAAATTTTTATGAGAATTTCAGTTATCATTCGAAAGCTTGAAAACTCTTGCTAGAGCCGTAGACAGACGTTTTTGAAAACCTCGTTTTATAACGCTATGAAATTCAAAGTAACTGTATGTTTTACATCGAGGGCGCAATACTACTATTACTTCGCTAGAATCACGAAAAGCATATCATCTTATAGAGGAAATCTTGTAGTGTCAGAGTCATACGCTCAGGCTGGAGATTCTTTTGAAGCGGAAAAAAAATTTCTAATCAAGTGACAAAAAACGCACCTTCGATCGTTGACTGCAACGAAACCGCGGCACTCCCGTTTGCCCACCTCCCCTTCATCTCATGGAAAATACATGCCCGCGTATGTGAGTGATTCTCATTTTCAATGATACACTGCAGAGAAACGGTCTTTTCAGAAAATATGCACAGTGTTGGAAATGCTAAATCTTATGCTATCTAGTGGTTAGTAGTAACCCAAACAAAGAGCTCTGCCCTGTGAGGGAGATGCACGTGTGAAACACAAAGTTTTACTTTAGCTAGAGCGTTATAAAAGGACGTTTCCAAGAAGTGACTGGTCACGGACCTAGATAATGATCTAGGCTTTCGAATGATTACTAGTACTTTATGAAAAGTCCTTGTCCAGCGAAGGGGATTGGCTTTCATTGATCGCCGCTTAGCGACTTATTCGTTGATTTTCTTTTAAGATGTGTGACGGGACAAGTAAAGTATGTAAAAAAACAATGTTGTAGGTCATCGCTACATTACTTTATTTTTTGAAAAGGGTCTCCGAAACTATGCCCCAATTGTCCACTATTTAAACGGATACTGATGTAATTCTTTTGTAACAACTCTGAAGAGAAGATGCTTTAAGTCATATAAATATACGACACTGCGCCATACGAAGACTCGTTTTATCACCGCATCAGTGCAACATGCTGCCTTGTTTCACAAAAGTAAGCATTACCTATCCACATAAAAAGTGGATGATATTCCAAAGGCAAGAATAATTGGAAGTTGGGTTTGGCTGCAATCATAACTATGACTCATTTTTCATCATGAAATTTTATGCTCTCTATGTTTTGGGAACAAGAGATGCTAGCGATAATCCCATTGCTACGCATAGGAAGAAGGCTCAGGAAAAATGAGAGGGGAGAATATGCAAAAAATTTCTCGCACCTCACAGATAACAGCAAGAATACCACTTCATAACTTATGCTCAACGGCAGACGTAATGCTCAATTTTAGGCCAAATATTTGGTTTTCATGATTATGGAAGACGTCATAGTGCAAAATCGGGTAAAAATCAACCATAGAAAACGAATGTATACGTGAGGGGTTTGGAGGTGAGCAAATGCCTATCCTCAAAGTTAGTATACTGTTTCCGCAATGAGTTACTGTTTAAACTTTGATAGATCTCTCCGTCTATGAATGGTGCTTAAAAATCCAACGAATAATAATCGTGATATGTGGAATCAAAACATGAAAATATAACGATACTTTCCAATCGACTGTTTTGAGACCTCGCTCGAAAATTCAACATAGTATGGTAGAATGTTTTTGAGCCTTTCATGAGGTCTAGTGTGGCATCTCTAGAGGCAGACGTACGCTTCGGCTTTCTGGCAAGCCTCGTTGGAACTATGCGCTATTCGACTCACCTCTGTTAGTAGGAGGACTCGACGCCAAAGAAGTATCAATCTACGTCAAATGAGCTGGTCACTTGGTGTTACGTTCTTTCATAGTGATTGATTATCGACTGCTTGGCATAAGGCTGTTACTGAGCATATGTAACAATACTTTTCAATCGACTATCTTGAGAACTCGCTCGAAAATTCAATATAGTCTGATATATGTGATGTACGCCTACCACAAGAATGATATATCTGATGTACGTTTACCACAAGAACGGAACATGGATGTCAAGTTTTTCAAGCAACAATTAACGATATTAAAACATTAGACGGATAGCACTTATCTTACAATTAGGTTGGTTTGCGAGTCATTGCAATAAGGATGTTCCGCATAAATTCAGTCAAAAGATGTGTTTTGTTTCTGTATACGTGGGGTCGTGGCCGAGTAGTCTGATGCTCGTCGCTGCATGGGGCGATCTCCATCCCCCAGTACTCTCCGACAATTGACAATAAAGATTCATGGGACGTTGCGGCTAAGCTATCTTCGACATGTCAGAACATGTTAGATCACTATTCCACGTCGTTCAAGCAACGATAAACGAATCGAAGGCTAGAATTATCGGTGTCCACATAGCAGAGCGTGATAACTGACCGTGTAAATAAGTAGGTAAACGAAGAATAAATTGGTTTCACGATTATGAGTCTTCTAACAGAAACTTTCATAACCTTGAAGACTGAGTAATACGTCCGCGGTTCCTTATATAATAAAATTATTGAGAATATAATAAGTCTTTGACCTACTAATTTATAGGGGAGTGGCTAAATCATCGAATAAATGAGAAGATACTGCATTGAATTATGAAGATACCTGCATCGGTAGTTCGGTGGAAGAGTGCTTGCCTGGCACGCGGACAACCAGGGTTCGATTCCCGGCCAATGCACTTGTTCGATTCCCGGCCAATGCACTATGAAACGACGGCTTGAGATTGCCGTTGCTCTTTCATCATCCAATCACTGAGGTGGACTTTGCCAGACCGATTTATTGATTCTATTGCCGCTGTCGGCTTGTGATGATTACAGTAACGAACAGCGATTAATTTATCACAGAGAATAAAAGACAACCTAAAAATATATACATCAGTACAGTAATAATACAATGATGACGTAACAATAGTAACAACGCCTCACTGCGAAACCACGATAATACTATAACATTAATGAGTGCGAACGGATAAAGTGAGCCGATAAGATTGAGAATCGATAAGTGCGAACGAATAGAGTGAACTAGGACTGCGGGGCTTGACTACGCGGCGAACCTTGGGATGCACTTATGCTTGCTTGGACAAGAATTAAATAGCGAGGGGTGGAAGCCAGTAGGTGATTAAATATGCTAGTATGATTCTTGAGAGATTACGAACGTATAGGGCTGGGACCCATTTCCCGTGACGGGTGAGACAAAATCCATGCGGACTTGGCTCAGTGCCGTCGTCGTGAGCTCCGCTCGCATGCTGAACTCCCACAACGGCGTGAAGTGATGCGAATAAGACGAAATAATCAATGGTGAGATCATAACATCGCTAGAGAAGGTGGCGCAGCGACCGATCACGGAGCAAACAGTTTATGAAATGGCCGACAGCAGATGATGAAACGATGCGGTCGCGGTAGCGGTTTTTGAAGGATATATCGCAATGGAGCGTATTAGCTGCTTGTCCGTGGGATACCCGGCATTTGTCCAGAAAAATTGCAACTCTGCAACGGCTCTGTCAAACAGTTGCTACAAGCTCTGTCATGAAACAAAACAAGGAAGGTTAGGTCTAGAACAACGTAGAGAGACAACATTACCATCACCTCCTTTTCCATGAACGCTCTCTAAGCAACAATATTCTGATAGGAAGTGATATCAATTTTCAGTACATGTTTGGACAAAGTGTTTCACGTACTTAGCCCCTAACTGAAGGCTAGAGAAATCGGCAAGCGCAGAACGAATTAAACGATTTTCGTTGTTCGATTGAAATTTTTTTTCTTCGTTAAGAGGAAATTTCATAATTTTCACATTATTTTGATAGAACAAGATTTTTTCTACTCGCTCATATGCTTTTGGCTTAGTTATAAGTGTCTTGTGTAGAGAAAAACGCTGGTTTACTATGTAATCGCACTGAATTTGACATACAGTCAATTGTATTGCGTCAAAGACAAGACACATCTTTAGTCTTGCTCTTTCCTAGTTCTAAACAAGACCCAAGAGACACAGCGAATAAAAATTGGAAAACAGTTAGGAGTTTATCAAAGAAAATTATGTATACTGGGTTCGACACTGCTCATCGGAAGTTCTCGCTGTGACTAAGTTTATAGAAATCATTTATTTACAACTATTCAGAGTTAACGTGCGTGAGAAAAAGTTCGGTACTTACCGACAGTGGACGAATTCTGAGCGAAAAGACAACCGTGTTTGGATAAAAGGCTTATAGAATCGGCGTTATGCAAACTGTTTGTCATAGATATGTGCCTACAGAAAAGTATTGTCGGTGCTTTTTCCCTATCCATACCTATATTTATAAGAAGGTTTTTTATTGCTTTTGAGATTTTAGTAATTTTTCCGAAACCTTGAATACCGAGAATCTGAAGGGTGTGTTTCATTTTCCAAATGGTTTTTGTTGATAAACTCAAAAGGTTAAGTAAAATTTCTTCCACATTCAAACATCTTTCGCTGGACAGAAGTTTTCATTCAAATTTCAGTAACCATTCAATTGCACAAATCTCAGCGATCTCAATGACCAACTTGTTTTTTTAAGAAGGAGGTTTTAATCCGTTCTTGCAGCTAAAAGATTATTGAGTTTCACACTCCGGCGTCATTTCGATCATGCAACATGAATTAAATTGTAAAATCTAATATTCTTCCAGCTGTAACGGATTACTAAGAAGTCTTTCTCAAAAACTAAGCATATCCTTGAAATTGTTGAGATTTGCGCTACCGAAATGGTGTGCAATCCTGAGAGAAAAGTCGTGCTCAGCGAAAAATATTCACATGTGCATCACAACTTTATTCCTGTTGCTACAGCTCACAAAAAAAGACTTTTTAAAAGGCCTGCAAGCCATTAAAACTTTTGAGATTTGAGCTATTGACTAATTATTGAACGGCGACGGTTTCATACCAATATTGCAATATTCACCCACCTACCGTTGGAATTCTTACGCGCCGCATGTGAAATGCTATCATAACTTCGGTTTTGCAGCGCAATAAATAGATTTCTTGGAAAACTAAAAGCACTGCTAAATTTGCAGAGATTCATGCGATCGAAGAACGGCTGAGCATTGTGAGGAAAAGCTTTGCTTGTCGACAGATGCTTGAGTGTTAAATGGCATTTTCTTTTCTAGTTGCAACTATCACCTATCATTCCGTTGATCGTCGAGCGAGGCTGTCGAGCCCACTTGCCACATATCCTTCTGCTGATCGTCGAGTGACTTGAACGTGCACCACCGATACCTATATTTTTCTCTATCACATGCAAGAGTAGCACAGATACGAGATTCGTTAGTTTCTCTCTTTCTTCATTGCCCAGCTTGAGCAAGTGAAATTAGTGCCAGGCCTCACGCATCGAATCGTGATACGATGTTCGCTACTCTGTCTCTGTCTCTCTCTCTCTCTTTATCGATCAGTTTGAAGAACTCACAAACAAAGTGGTTTTATATGTTCTCTTCTCATAAATGTTTTATGATGCCACTGGTAATGCTGCTTTATATCTCTTTGCGGACGGCATCATAATGATATCCGCAGTGGCACGGTAATCTTTCTTCAACAACAGTTTTTATTTCTGCTTAAAAAAAATATATTGATTTTTTTTGCATCATTCTGATGTAACATAATTTTCCCTATAAATATGTATATCTTTTGTGCATGTATGACTCCTATGTGCAAAGGAACTCCGAATGCCAAACGTAGTTTCATTTTCGTTCTCAATGTGCGCTACAAACCCTTTCGAGAATCAGTTTAAGCTCCAAATTTGCCGAGATTTGAATTGTAGCATAGTTTAGTGTAGTTCAACATGGAGCTCTCTGCAAAACTGTGGCTGTGCAAATAAGATGAACCACGGGCGCTGTGGCCTAGCGGTTGTGCTGCTTCGCAGCGCGCGTGGAGCCGAGCTTCACCTTCCTCCCCACCCTATTCGCTAGTTATCAGCAACATTTTATGAGACGCCACAGCCAGGCTATTACGAAGATTCCAAGGAAACTCGTCGAATCAATCTTTTAAGACGTTCAAGAAGACAACGAAAAACGAATTGATTGCTAATAGTGCTAGGATCCCCACAGTGAACAAATCAAGTTCCAAATAACCGCGGCATCAATATCAATTATTACTCCAAGTGTGAAAGTATAACTGTACTAGCTCGTTCAAAATTCGTAATAGTAACGATGTTGGTTTTGTTGCTGAGTTTAGATCGCAGTACGAGTGGGTGGCTGACGTTTCGACGATACCGCTTTCTTCAGAGCCTAGACAAACATTATTATCACTACTTGTTTGAGTCGGTAACCAAGTCGATGCCTAAGCATACCCCCTTTGATCGATTCAGAAGATTCTAAATGTTCTACAATGCGCAAATGAAGTGGCCTACTCGTTTCGCCAATATATTCATCAACGCATGCTTTAGATGTTATTGAATATATGTTGTGTTAGAACTTAGAAGATCCCCTTCCCTCCCGTTTGGGTAGAATTAACACTCATCTGAGTGACAGAGTCGATCATGAAGGCGATTGTGGACTAGCTGACGGCGCAGGACTGGAGGTTTGAGTTTGATTACTGTTAGCGAATTTACAGTACCGATTACTTTCAGGCACCTCCTAATAACACAGCTAACTTCGTCTGATATCAAAGGCAATTTAGAAGTAATATTATTAGGTGCAAAGTTTTCTTAATGTATTGGGGCTAAACCATACTGATTAAATGACTCGAGTGGCTGGCACACCCTAGTCGTAGAAATTGGATATGGCTATTTTTCGTGCCAGGTTTAGCGTTTCTATCCTCTCCTTTTCTCTTGTACACACATTAATAGCCGTCCCACACATGTTTTTGTTGAATGCTTCTTTCATGTGTGATGGATGAGTGGAGAAGTAGTGTATTAATATACTTTTGCTACTTGGCTTACGGCACCATTCAGTGGTATAGCCACTTTCTGAGAAATTTATTTGGGTGTTTGAAATGATAACCAATTACCTTTTAGACCTTCTCGAGTGAATTTGAAAAACCCTAACTGCTCATTTAATTCAAGGTTACGAAACACTTGCGTATTTCCTCTTGTTTGAAAAGACAATAGAGCAGTCGTCTACTTTCGGCAATAGAGTAGAATCCGTCGAATGAGGAGTGGAGCTTGTAATTTATACATGAAGGCGATTGTTAGGCTTGGTGCTAGACTCTGAGGCATGGCTAAGCCCCTAATTTGTGCATAATATTTTCCTGAGAACCGAAAGATTTGGTAACTAAGACACTGCTCTAAAAGAGCCATTAGCACTTGGACTGACAAACAAAACATGTTGATTTTCTGTTTATTTTCTATAAGCTATTGAAGAATGGCCTGCATTGCAGAGTTGCTCGATATGTTGATATAATTCAAAGTGACATCAAACGCCTCCATTACATGCGAGTTGTTTGGATACACGCGTCGTATGTGGTCCACGAAGATTTTGGCATTAAGTAAATGGGTTGGAATGAACTTACGATGCTGATCGAGAATGAGTTTTAGAAGCCAAGTAATTCTATCTATTAATCATTCTGAACAGGAGGATGCACAGGATAAGAGGAAAGATTTGTCAAACTTCACACGGAAAGTAACCATATCTAACGGCTACGACTACGGTGTGCCCGCCACTCGGGTGACTTCGATTAGTAGGGTCAGGCCTCAAGACAATAACAAAACCTCGCGCTTTAGTAAGATCTTTTTCAAGTTGC